TGTTTGTATTCAATTTTGTATTTATTTAAAATTTTTATGGTTTTTGAATGTGAAGCATTTACATGGCTCAAAGTTAAACTATGAAAAAGTACACTCAGAGTAACCTAGCTGTCATGCCTATGCTTCTACTCCATTCCTAACCAGCCCTTATAGGTAATTATTTTCATTAGTTGCTGGTTTATCTTTCCTGTGTTTCTTTTTAAAAAATAAATGAGTGTATATATTGCTGTATTTACTGTTTCTTTCACTATGTGGAGTGTTCCTTGCTTTTAAAATTTCTTTTTATCTTTAGAACATAAAAGGTTTTTACATTCTAATGGTTTACATTTATACTGATAACATTTTATGTAATGCTGTAAAAGACCCCTTTTTGCTTTTCCAAGCTTCTACTATCATTTGCCATCCTATGTACACCACAGAACATGTGAGATCTTAGCTCCCCAACCAAGGATGGAACTCGAGTCCCCTACAATGGAAGGTGGAGACTTAACCACCAGACCACCAGGGCAGACTCTTTGCCGTTTTAGATGATATACTTTGACTCCCATCTAATTGCCTTTGTGACAACCAACAAACTTATTCTACTCCTTTCTCCCATCTTCCCCTATTTAGTTGCCTTCTTTCTATCTGAAATTTTTAGAACATAAAACATTGACACACTATTTTCTCATCCTAGTTTGTTATAAAATTCAATATATTTTAGTATACTAATATACTTTATAAATATATTTAATGTACTTAAATATATTTAAGTACATTTAATACTCTTCAATACTTTAGCCAAAGGCTCCCCAACCAACTCTTTGAAACTGGATGAAGCTTTTCTAGTTAAGTACTCAAGGAGGGCTTGTAAGTACAATATTCCTCAAGTTCTAGCATGTTTAAACTTTCTAGAGCCTAGACATTTTAAGTACAGCTACATACTATACTATATACTATAAAATCTTTGGCTTACAGTATGTTTCCTTGAGTTTTGTGGGTTTTTTTTTTAAATGTTGCTCCATTGCTGTGTTGCTTGGTGTTATTTTCAAGAAGTCTGGCACCATTTGATTTTTTTCCCCTTTGGAAAAAATGCTTTTGTTTGTTGTTGTTTTCCTGTAGGCCCAGGTAATTTTTTCCACGTCATTTTCTGATCCTTATTTTCTCTATTTTTCTTCATAGCTGATTTTACTCCTCTCCTCCATGTTTCTTACCTTCATGTTTTTAGAAACCCTGTAATTTAGGTTTCACATTTTGGATGATTTTATTTTTTCAGTATATTGCCTGAGTTTGCTCAAGTCTCATCTTCCTGTTGAATTTTTAACTCAATTCTTTCACATCTGCAATGTGAAAGATTCTCTATTTAATGATATTTAATTCATATTGAGTAAGATACATAGCTTTCCTCTGTTTCATATTTTTAGAGGGTAGTATTTTCTATTAACTGAAAAGTTGTCATTTTCTGTTTTGTTTTTTTAAAGAATAGGCTTTTATGGGGTGGGGCTTTGGTGGCTTTTTCTGTTCTTGGTGAAACGGGAAGGATTTTCTTAAAGAACAGGTAGTTCTACAGAAATGAGGTGACTCTTTCATAGTTAAGGAGGCCCTCTTCTGTTCACATGGCAAAATGCAATTTCTTTAATAAAGGGCACATTTAGGGGGCTGGAGAAGGAAATGGCAACCCGCTCCAGTATTCTTGCCTGGAGAATCCCATGGACGGAGGAGCCTGGTGGCTACAGTCCACAGCGTCACAAAGAGTCGGACACGACTGAGCTGTCTCTCTTTCACTTTAGGGGGCTGGATTCTGTAACACAATTTTGTTTATTTAGGAATATTTAGCTGCAGCCACTTGCTGTTTTTACCAGGTATTTCTCTCATGAAAGGTTCTAAGGAACTTTCCAAACATAGGTTTTTGCCTGTTTTCAAGTCTGATTCTTGACTTTCTCATTAATTTTGGGAACTTTAATATCCTTTCAAATCATTCCTCTTTGCTTATGTTAGCTAATGCTAGTTTCTGTTGACTATCACCAGAGAACCCTAACTGACATGTCAACCTCTCAATGTAAAGTCTGAATCTTCATGACCCAAATCACATATAAAGCCACAAGAATTATATATTCACAATAAGTCTGTTAGAACAAGCCTCATCTCTCATGTTTACTATTGCAGCTCTTCTAGCAAAATGCCTGGGACATTCTGGACATTCAGTGTGTGTTAAATTTTTCTTATTACCTTTTTTTTTACAACAGCACTTACTACAATTTCCAATTTTCTTCCTTTTGTGTTTGTTTTATAGCCTGTCCCCCAGTGTAATTCAGCTCTATGCAGATAAAAACCATGTCATTCATCGATGTATCTCCAGTGTCTAGTAAAACAGTGACAGACAGAGTTACTCTAATATTTTTTGAATGACTGACTCAGTTCTTAGGATGATAAAATTGGTACAGCTGGATGAAGGGTGATTTTAATAAAGAGTAACCACATAAAACATGGTCTTACCAGGCTTCTTCATTCATCCAAAACAGGCTCCTGGGTATTTAAATTATGAAATCTATCTCATCTTACTTTCTCTGGAGTTTCAATTCAATTTCCATAAGAGAACATTTTAAAACAAATGTTGAGTTTACTTATTATAGGAACACATAACTTGAAGTATCAGGCTAAAATGCTTTTCTTTTTCCTTCCATGGAAATTGATTTGCCATTTCTAGTCAGTTATTGAAATAGGAAAATTCAATCAAATTTATTTTTTAACATTTTAAAATAATTTTAAGCTCACAGAAAAGTTGCAATAATAGTACCAAGAACACACATTCCCTTTACCCTATTATTAGTCATCTATAGCAGTGTACCAAAGCTGTGTACCAAATTACCCCAAGGTTTAGTGACTTAAAACAGTAATTTTTTTATCTTGCAGTTTCTGAGAGTCAGGAAACTGGGAGTGGCTAAGCTGGGTGGTCCTAGCTCAGGGTTTCCTGAAGTCACAGTCAGGATGTTGGCAGGGGTTCTTATTGTCCTGTCACTCAGTCGTATTTGACTCTTTGTGACCCCATGGACTGCAGCATGCCAGGCTTCTGTGTCCTTCACAGTCTCCTGGAATTTGCTCAAACTCATGCCCACTGAGTCAGTAATGCCATCCAGCCATCTCATCTTCTGCCACCCCGTTCTCCTCCTGTCCTCAATCTTTCCCAGCATCAGGGTCTTTTCCAATGAGTCGGTTCTTCGCATCAGGTGGCTAAGGTATTGCAGCTGCAGCTTCAGCATCAGTCCTTCTAATGGATATTTAGGGTTGATTTCCTTTAGGACTGACTAGCAGGGGCTGCTTTCAGCCACAGCGTTGATCAGGACTGGAGGACTGACTCCAAGATGACTCACTCACATATCTGTTGATAGGGGGCCTCAGTTCCTGGACACCAGGATGTCCCTACAGGCTGCTTAAGTGTCCTCATGACATGGCAGCTGGTTTCCACTAAACTTGGGTTCTGAGTGAATGAAAATGAGAGAGCTAGCAGGAAGACGCAGAGCCTTTTATGACCTAAGTCATTACTTTGCCGACAAAGGTCCGTCTAGTCAAAGCTATGGTTTTTCCAGTAGTCATGTATGGATGTGAGAATTGGACCATAAAGTTGAGCACAGAATTGATGCTTTTGAAACTCTGGTGTTGGGGAAGACTTTTGAGATTCCCTAGGACTGCAGGGAGATCAAGCCAGTCAATGGTAAAAGAAACTTCTACGCATACCTCCTTACATATACATACATGTTAGTTCCTAACTATTTAAGAGTAGGTAGCATGTATCACCGGGCTTCCCAGGTGGCACTAGTGGTAAAGAACCTGCCTGCCAGTGCAGAAGACATAAGAGACCCAGGATCGATTAATGGATCCGGAAGATTCCCTGGAGGCATGACAGCCCACCTCAGTATCCTTGCCTGGAGAATCCCAAGGACAGAGGAGCCTGGGGGACTACAGTCCATAGGGTCTCGAAGAGCCAGACACGACTAAAGCGACTTAGCACGCACACACGCGGCAGAGCATGCATCACATTCCTTCACTCCTTAAGACTTCGGTGTATATTTCTTAAGGAAAAGGATATTCTTTTATATTACAGTACAGTCAATACAATCAAATTTAACATCGTGATACTTTAATCTGAAGTCCATAGTCCACTTGTGACAGCTGTCCTTTTTCGCAATTTCCCCATTAAATTCATTTTTTAAACAACCAGGTAATACAAGTAGTGGGCTACAAAGGGTGCCCTCAGTTCAGTTCAGTGGCTCAGTCGTATCCGACTCTGTAACCCCATGGACTGCAGCACGCCAGGCCTCCCTTGTCCATCACCAACTCCCGGAGTTTACCCAAACTCATGTCCATTGAGTCGGTGATGCCATCCAACCATCTCATCCTCTGTCGTCCCCTTCTCCCTAGGTTCCATCCGTTTTTCCTGGCAGGGAATAAAGAAAAGGTCCCATTTGGGGCCAGGGTGCTGCTGGAAAAAGACTTGCTTCAACGTCTCCTTCGGTTCCAGTGTTGGTCAGAACACAGAGGGAGCAGCCCTAATAGCTGAGGACGCCTGGTTGAAATTCCAGTGTTAACTGTGTATCAGCTGTATTTCCTCGAGCATGTAACATTCAGAAAATTACAAGTCTTCCTCGGTCAGGGGCTCTATCACGGCCCCCAGCGCCCAGGGATGCGGTGAGGACTGAACGAGTGAGGGGCATAGGGCTCCCTTCGCAGGCAGCCCGCCCGCAGGTGGCCCCTGCCGCGCGCCGCCCGCTTCCCTCCCGGCTTCCATGCCAGTGCCGACCGCCCGGCGGCCGAGCGGGCGGGCCGCGTCACGTGGGCGGGGCGGGGCGCACTCGTCGGCCGATCGCACGATGTGACGCGCCGCCGGAGGCAGGCCGGGCCCTCAAGATGGCGGCGGGTGCCCCGAGCGGCTCGGCCCGGCAGTAGTAGCGGGACGGCACTCGCCGCTGGGGCCGGCCGCCCCGGGAGTGGCTGCAGCAGCGCCAGGAATCGAGGATGGTAAAATGACCCAGGGGAAGAAGAAGAAAAGGGCCGCGAACCGCAGTATCATGCTGGCCAAAAAGATCATCATTAAGGACGGAGGCACGGTGAGCTGGGGTACCGAGCCGGGAGTGTCGGGCCGGATCTCTTTCTGCTCCCGAAGCGGCCGCCTGCAGTCGCCCCTGACTGCCCCCACCGCTCCCGCGGGGCCGGTATCTCGGGCTCCCGGCTCTTTCCTCTCTCGCCCCGGCCTGCGGCCTCCGGGGCACATCCTCCCGGATGGCGAAGGCTCCCGCCTCTCCGGCACCTGCCGCCCTGCCCTCCGGCCGTCGCTGGAGGCCCTGCGGCCTCGAGCCCACGCGCGCCGCCGTCGCGGGCAGGAATTGACGCCGGGCTCCGCCGCCCCCCTCGCCTCCGCAGCCTCGTCGGCGCCGTCCAGGCCCCGCGAGGCGGTGGCCGCGCTCTGGAAGCGGCCGGCAGCGACCCCTGCCTTCCCGTACGCTGCTCCGGGGGTGGCATCTGGCGCGGCGACCCCGCTGGGGCTCCGTAGGGCGCTCGCCCCTTTTCTCCACGCCGTTCGGGGTCAGTGCTCCTGCTCTCGACCGCGTCCGGTGCGGTAGACGCTGTCCGGAGGTGGGCTCTGCTCCTCGCCGCCCGCCGTCGGGACTGTGACGGAGGACACCGGGGCCTAGACTTCAGTCTGTAGTTTTCAAAGAGTCACCACCCTCTTGTTTTAAAATCACCTGGTGTATTTTAAAACGAATACTCGGTAGAGTTGGTCATGGCCTGAGGGTTAGAAGACCTTAGAAAGGAAGACAGATTGAGGACGAGAAAAATTTTTTTGCTGTTTAGAAATACTGTCATCAAAATCAACCTTAGGCATTGTGCTGTTGTTAACCGGCAGGGGAGGTAGGCCGTTTAATTGAAAATAACTCACCTCTTTTTTTTTTTTTTAATGCTGAAAATTCTTCTTTGCTCCTCCCTGGTCTTTCCTGCATTCTTTGATATCAAGTTCTGAAGTAGAATAGAAAAGTGAAAGTCATTTCACTTTTTCGAGAAATGTGCAGGAATGGTTCCTTTTATACCATGTTTGTTTGGAGCCCTCCATTGCTAGTATAGTACTAAATGTGTAATTAGGCCACCATTGAGGATTTGCTAAATTAATCTGAAATCAGTTACAACTTGGTTTGGACATTTCCGACTATGGCCCAGTCAGTATGCTAAAATTTAGAAAGCTTGGGACATATGTAGCAATTTTGTTATATACCTTTGAAAGTGAAAGTGAAGTTGCACAGTAGTGTCCGACTTTTTGTGACCCTATGGGCTATAGCCTATCAAGGCTCCTCCGTTCATGGGATTTTCCAGGCAAGAGTACAGGAGTTGGTTGCCACTCCAAGGGATCTTCCCGACACAGGGATCGAACCCAGGTCTCCCGCATTGTAGCAGATACTTTACCATCTGAGCCAGGAGGGAAGTCTGTATACCTTTAGTAACTGTCAAATCTATAGATGTCAGCAGCTTTGACATTTGGTGAAAAAAGAACCTTTGAAATTCAAGTCCTCAGATCTCATGTTTTAATTAAACATTAAAAATATTTGATTAAAAAAACATTTGATTAAATCAGTTATGAATTGTTACGGCCAGCTTGGTTAGAACTTGATTGGGGGAAGAGAAATGGCTTGAAAAAACACTGGTGCCTTTACCAGTCATAAGGACTTAATATTTTAATTTCTTCATACAGTCAACAAAATAGAAGCAGCAAAGAATTGTATTTTGTCAAAGCAATTAATATTTAAGATTAATATTCTTTTTAAAAGATAAAGAAGCTGTGTTCAGGAAGCACACCTCCTTTTTCCTTGTAAAGTTCAGTTTTGTTACCTCAAGTTTTTTTAGCTCACTTTATAGGAATTAAATCTTGTGAGATTTGGGACTGGTTTTTGTTTTTTTTTAATCTTGGTATTTATTAAAGTTGTGAATTTGTAGTTTGCTTTTGGACACAAAACACAATTTTTACCCCAGCAGTGGGTTTTTAAGAGGGCATAGAGAATAAATGAACGCTTCTTTTAAGGGATGTGCACATGGGAGTATTATCATTCATCATTTTTGTACCCTTATGCTGCACTTTCCATTCTCAGAGCACTGGACGCCTCTTTAGAATAGGGACTTTGTTTATGCATCTTTGAATCCCACAGGGCCTACTGTGAATTTAAAGTGATAAAAATGCATTTAGAGTGATTTTTAAAAATGAGTTGAGTAGCACATTCTAAAGATCATTTTTTAGTATAATTTATTCATTCCTATATATAATCGGGATATTTCTGTTTCTTGAAGTGCTAGGGTAATTTTTTTGCACTGTTTGTATTTTAATCTACTCTGGCCGTAAGTGAAAATATGTATAATTATTATTGCCATAAAAATTGTTTTAAAATCACATTTGTTTTTCTTCTCTATTTAAAATTGATCAGATTATTTGAACACCTTGGTGTCTGAGGCTGTATGGTCATACATGACAGGCTCTGAACAGTTTTTCACATCCCTGGCCGATGGCACTGACCTGATCCCCTTCCATTTTCTTTCTAGTGTTCAACAATGTTAAGATTATTTTGCTTTGTCCCCTGCAAATGGCATCTTTTAAAGCTTGATCAGCCAGTTGTAATGTTCGTAAAGCAAAATTAATAATGAGTTGTTAATGGTTTATCAAAAACTTAGCACATATTTGTGTAGTTTTTAACAGTTGAAGAAGTGAACCTTTCTAAACAAGCCAGGTTAATCATAAGTTACTAAATGTTTTTCTTTTCTTGAAATTGTATTTCAGTTGGCTCTGAAGCCTAGGTAAGACTGACTAATATGTTGTCTACTTGAGTAGTATGCAATTAAGGTACATTATATGAGGGTGTGATTCTATATCGGGAGTTCTTAACTTGGGTTGGTTCACCCTGAAGTTATTTGTAAAATTTTCTTTGTACATCTCTCTAGGGAAATTCCATAAAGGTTTCATACTTCCTGAAAGTTTAAGAACAGTTGTTTTGTATGAAAACAACATAAGTAACTAAAGAATAGTTTCACAGGTTAAATTAAATAAATATTTACTGGATTTCCCTGGTGGCTCAGTTGGTAAAGAATCTGCCAGCAATGCGGGAGACCTGGGTTTGATCCTAGATTGGGAAGATCCCCTGGAGGAGGGCATGGCAACCCACTCCAGTATCTTTACCTGGAGAATCGCCATGGACAGAGGAGCCTGGCGGGGGGGCTACAGTCCATGGGGTCGCAGAGAGTCGGCTACAACTTAGCGACATTAACTTTCGGTCATCTAGTGTATACCGTTTTACTGATGAAAGTGACTGTGACGTTATTGGTGAATTTTGCTTTTGGAAGCATTTACACATGGAATTGGGCTTCCCAGGTGGTTCAGTGGGCATGGAATCTGCCTACTATGCAGGAGATGCAGGAGACATGGGTTCGATTCCTGGGTCGGGAAGATCCCTTGGAGGAGGGCATGGCAACCCACTCCAGTATTCTTGCTGGAGAATGCCATGGACAAGAGGAGCCTGATGGGCTACATGAGGTCGAAAGAGTTGGACATGACTGAAGCGATTGAGCAGGCACACATAGGATTACTGTATTTAGTTATGTTTTAGTGTATGTAATGTTTTGCTACATCTCTTATTCATTGCAGACCATTGAGGAGAGTTCAATTAAAACTGCTTTTTGACATTTTATAATGCTTCTGGTTTTGCTGTTAAATCATTCCTATGTTTTGTTGTTAGGTTAGTCACCAAATTGTGTCAGACTCTGCAACCCCATGGACTGTACACTCCCCCCACCCCCAGGCTCCTCTGTCTGTAGGATTTCCCAGGGATGGAACCTGTGTCTCCTGCATTGGCAGGTGGATTCTTTACCACTGAGCCTCCAGGTTGTTTATAAGTGTTGGTAGAGACTAAGAGCCTCAGTGTTACTTACATGAGTTATTTGTATTATCAAAGATAAAATTTTCCTTATGATTTTTTAAGTTTACTTGTTTATCATCCTGATTTTTATTGTTTTGTGAATACAGAGACTACATCTCTGATAAAGTGAAAAAATTTAGATTTTTTTTCACAAGCGAATTGGTACAATGACTTTAAAGATCAGATAGAAAGCAAAGCACATGTGAATTGATTTATTAGAAGTACCTGACAAAAGTAGAATTGACATTTCAAATATGCCCAGAGTACCAGATTTTTATTCCTGATTTCTCTGATTTTAATGACAATAAATAGGAGTCAAAAACCATTTCGGAAGTCTGGCCCTAAGCTCTGATCCTTTGCACTCTTCACCTGCTAGGATGACTGAAGGAGTTGCAGAATAGCTCTCTGAACCCCCAGAGAGTGGCCACTGGTTCCTAGAGTGCATGCAAGCCAGGAAGAGGGCCGTGGTGCCTTTCAAAGAGCAGCTCTTCTTTGATATCACTCGCCTTTGCCTAGAAACATCAGGATGTACACATGTCCATGGCAAGCTTGTGGCAGGCAGAACCATGAATGATTTACCTGTCTACCTCTGTGAGTCAACACTTGCTTTAGGGTAGCGTGTTTGGGGGTAAATGAATAAGCGGTTTTCTCCGTTTATATTTCGTTTGTCTTACTATAGTTTGAAAACCTGCTTCCCATCATCATCTGTGGAAATTCGCTTACAGTTGAAATGTTGAAGTTTAGGAAAAAGAATAGCTTTTCTCAATAGTCATTCTGACAAGTATATATGATTTAAATTTTCAATTATTTAAAAGCTCAAATTGTCTTTTAGCATTATTTTAAATTGGAAGTGTCAGTTAAAGTAACAGTTGACCATTTCAGCCAGAGTACATATATCAGGATCCCTAAAATGGGTTCATCTCTTTCAATGCCAGATCGCAGTAGCTTATTCTTAATAATAGCTCTATTTTCTCAATAGTGTGTAAATGCAGTTACCAATTCTACCACAGGAAATACTTCTTAGGGAGTCTTTTTAGCAAGAGGTGGTTGATATTTTATCACTTAGCTATATAAATTGAGTGATCAGAGATCACACTAGGACCATTCTTGAGCTTCAACTCTATCCTAGACATTGGTGACAGTTTGAGTTTTGTGTTAAT